CCCTCCCTCACATCCACTCATGCCCACCCACCCTCACCCACCCCACCTGCACCACCAGGTTGAGCACGTGGGAGTGCATGGCGGGTGAGCCTGTGTACAGGAAGGAGTGGATGTCGCCGTGCACGCGGAACATCTCAACATAGTCGCTCACTGCGGTTTTGTTTTCAAGGAAAGGGGAACGTCAATGGTCGTGTTGTCATGAACTGGCCTTTCTGTGCTTCGAAAAAGAGAACGTCGTTTTGTATGAGGGGGCAGGTGGGGTGTTTGTGTGTGCCCGCAGCACCCCCCACCCCTGCTCCCCACCCCCACCTGCATCCCTGAACAGCCGCTCCCGCACATCGTTGATGTCATAATCGAAGAAAGCCCAGGGGCGGGCGGGGTCCTGCAGGCTCACCGGGCAGGCGGGCGGAGGGAGGCGGGTGGCGGGCGGCGGGGGCCGAGGCGGGAGCACACAGGCGGCGGGGGCAGCGGCTGCAGCAGGCGGAGGCACGGCGAGCCGGCAGGCGGGCGTGCAGGCCCTCCAAAGACCGAGGGCAGGGGGCACTTGCAGCGAAAATGCGCAAAGCGCTGCGCCCAAGGCGCAGCACGCCCCAGCAGCGCACCCTGTCTGGGGCGTCTGAGGTGGTGGCAGAGGCGGTGGCGGCGTGGGAGGCGGCGGCCAGGCTGACGTCTGGCGCGCTGGCCGCATGCGGCACGCTGCCGCCGCCGCCGCCGCCGTTGAGGCTGCCGGCGCTGCCGCTGCGCGCCCAGGCCTGGCCTGGGGCGCCGCCGTCCACACGCTCCAGCCCCCCCATGGCTCGCGGCGGGCTGGAGCGGCGCTCGAGGTCGAGCGCGGGCGCAGCCCTGGGCGCCGCGGGGCCGGGGCTGGCGGTCTGGCGCTGCAGGCGTGCCAGCATGTCTGATGCCGACTGTATCATGCGGGCGCTCAGCGGGGCGGCGGAGGAGGTGGAGGAGGAGGAGGAGGGGGGGCGTCCCGCAGAGGGGGGCCGCCCGGAGGTGCCGGGGCTGCCTCCTGAGGCCTGGGAGGTGGCTGGGGAGGGGGGAGGGGTCCACTGGGTGGCTCTGTTGATGTGGTCGATGTACAGCAGGCGCCCCTCGTGCTGCCGCACCTCCCAGCCCTGCACACATGGCGGGGCGGCGCACGGGCGGTGGGCAGTTGCGTGCCAGTGCTGGAGAGGGTGGGCTGCGAGGGAAAAAGGGGCCGCGGCTTGTGCCCGGGGGTCGATGGCGGCGGCCGCAGGAAGGCAGCCGGGGGTGGAGCCGCGGCGGCAGCGGGCAGCGCTGGCCGGAGCGGCACGGCGGCAAGGCAGCCCACCACCCACGCCACCAGCCGCCCGCCAGCCCACCTCTGGCAACACCGCCGCCGCATCCTCCGCCGCCGCGCCGGGCTGCTGCCCCGCCACCGCCGCCATGTCGCCCGCGCTGGAGCGCTGCCGGCTGCGCAGCAGGGCGGCGGTGGCGGGTGGCACGCCGTACTCCAGCACCACGCCCAGCACCCGCAGCTGCTCTTGCAGCACGGGCAGCATGGCGAAGCAGGTGGCAGCGTTGGTTCGGTCCAAAGAATCTGCGCAGTTGAAGCGCAGCAGGCCGGCCTGCTGCGCGTCCCAGCGCATGCGCCAGCCGGGGGGCCAGGCCGTGGCTGGCGCAGCGCCAGGGCCGGCCGGGGGCCAGGCCGTGGCCGGCGCAGCGCCAGGGCCGGCCGCCTCGCCGCCGCCGCCGGCCTCCATCCAGCCAGACGCAAAGCCGGTCTGCGGGCGGGCGGCGAGGCGGGTGGAGAAGCGCGGCGGGGCGACAGCAGTGGTCAGGCCAGCGGTGGGCAGGGCTGGCCCCGGCAGGCTGGCCCCTGGGAAGGCGCGGCAGCGAGGGGCAGGCGAACCCAGCGCCCCATCGCAACCAGGCCGCACCCAGGCCGGCGCCAGCCAGGCCATGCCCCTGCGGTCGCCCTCGCGTCGACCACCCCCTCTTGTGCCCGCGCACATAATGCTGTCCCCGGGCCCCGCTGCTCACAGCCGTGCAGCTGTCCCTGCTACTCACGTGCTTGACAAAGGGCTCCATGAGGGACCAGAAGCCCTCAACCGCCTTCTCCTCGCTCAGCCGCCCCATGTTGCCGTGCCAGTCAAAGTTGACGACCTGGATGGGGGCCTGGCCGCCCAGGCGCCGCCGCACGTGGCGCATGGCCTGCATGCAGGGGCCAGGGGCGCGGCGCGCGGCGAGGTGAGGGGCGGGGCGCGGCGCGGGAGAGGCAGCGGTGTGCTGAGGCAGCGGTGCGCTGCATTGCCTCGGGCAAGCGCGCAGGCAGCCGGCTGGCCAGCAGGCAGGCAGGCAGCGGAAAGACAGGCCGGCCGGCTGGCTGGGTGGCTGGGTGGTGCAGGGCGCCGCACGTCTTGGAAATGGCTGGAAAGCATCAGCTCCGAGGCCTTCTTGGGGTTGGCGTGCAGCAGGTTTATGCAGGTGACGGGCACGCCCAGACCGCCGCCCTCGCAGCCACTATGCTGCTGCTGCTGCTGCTGCTGAGCCTGCTGAGCTTGCTGCCCCTGCTGCTGCTCGGCGGGGCCCAGCTCTTGAGCCGCCCCTGCCGCCGCCCCTGCAGCTGCCGCCGCAGCAGCCGAGCCGCTGCCATCCGTGCTGCCGTCCTCCACCAGCGTCCAGCCCTCGCTGCTGCCCCCGCCCGCGGCGCTACCACCGTCTGCCGCCGCGCCGCCACCGCTGCCCCCTGCCTCGCCTCCGGCCCCTGCCGCCGCCGCGGCCGAGGGGTGCGGCAGCATGGGTCGCGGCGCGTGCTGCCGCTGCACGTTCCTAAAGTAGGAGGCTGTGCCCTGGTAGGGGTGCTCCTCCCGCACATACACCTCTGCTTGCAGGCCCTGCAGGGCGGCAGGCCGAGTGTGCGTGCGAAGTGTGTGTGTGAGTGTGTGTGCGTATGTGTGTGTTGAAGGAGGGCAATCAGGCAGCGGAGCGCCACAGCCCACTCGGCAACGCTTACGGGCACAAGGCAGCCCTGCCGGCACTGTATCCAGGCGGCAGCAGGCTGAACAAGGCAGGCTGGCTGCAACACACAGGGCAGATCAGCACCGCCACCCCCCTGGGCGCCCCACCCACCTGCGCCAGGCTCTGCAGCTGCACGCCCCACCAGATGGGCACGGTGCCGCGGCGCCACACCACGCGCGCCCACTTGAGCGCCTCCCCGCCGGCCCCCAGGCCGCCGGCAAGCGAGGCGGTGCCGCCGCCGTAGCTGGTTGCGGCATAGTACTGCTGCTCTGGGTGCGTCCACGTCAGCAGCTCACACTCAATCTCGTTGCCGGGGCCCGCCATGCTGTTCAGGCCGCGGGCTGCACGGGGCAGGGCGGCGGGCCGGTTCAGACCCCAGCAGCAACCATGCAGGCATGCCAGGCGATGCCAGGCAGCGGCATGCGCGTGCAGAGGTGTTTACAGGAGGAAGCAAGCCCTGGCGCCCACCCACCGATGTAGCGCGTGCCCGGGTGGCGGCGCGACCGCCTGGAGACGAGGCACATGGAGAAGCGGCGGCCGCCGCCCGGGTGGGCCAGCGTGCTGCACTCCACCGCGCCCTGCAGCAGCGAGGGGCACTGCTCGTACAGGCCCAGCTCCACCAGCGGCTGGCGCAGCCACGAGTTCCACACAAACTCGGCGGCGGGCTCGCGAGGGTCCTTGTCACTGCAGGGGGCGGGGCGCGGCGGGGCGGGGCGGGGCGTGATGGGTGTCCCGGTGTGGCTCGGGTGGGTGGGGAGTGGGGGCTGGGATGGCAAGCGGCGCAAGAAGGCGCAGGCGGCAGCGGCGGCGTCAGGGCTGCGCGTCTGCCAGCCAGGCCCGCCAAGTGCCCTGCAAACAGCCACCACGCCTCCTGCCCCACCTGCTCCCGCCTGCTCTCACAGACACACAGACACACACACACACACACCAGGGATGCCCACACTGGCCCCACCTGGGGAAGGGCCGCGAGATGTCTGCGGTCTCGCAGTAGTAGTGAGCGTTGTTGAGGGTGAACTGCTGCAGCGCGCGCCAAAACTCCACGTCCCCGCTGCGCGGTGGCGGCAGCCCCGCCAGCGCGGCAGCCTGCGCGGCATCCGCGGCCTCGTTCTGCACGAGGTTGGTGAGCGGGGATGAGCAGCAAGCAGCTGGGGGTCAGAGTCTGGTGGTGCCAGCGCTGGCATGCCGAATCAACGTGGTAAATGCTACTGCTTGGTGGCTGGCTGTGGGCTGGCAAGGCAGGCGTACTGTACTGCATCCATTTCGTTGCAGTGCTGCAGCAACTGCCCGATTCCCA